CGTGTATATTTCATGCGCTCCAAATGACTCTTTTGAGCACTCATTGTCTAGGCTATAGTTGTTTATCGCCCTGATCACCTTTCTAATTCTCTTAGTTTTAGATGACAGAACAGTTCTGAGAATTTAACGTATCTAAATCGAACCCAAATATCGTGAAAGATCAGGGATACAAGGTACTCTAAAGGATATCCTACATGATTGTGAAGAGAAGGTGTACAATTTAGTCAACTTCTTAAAAATCTCGAGTATTCATAAAGTAATCTAATTACACTCTGTAACTCCAATTATGTTTATGTAACGCTATGTAAAAAATCCACTATACATATACAAATATCCATGCCCGAACCCGGATTCGAACTATATAGACCCTTAGTACTGTAGTCGAGCTTCAACTCAACTACGCGACACGGGCCAGCAATTATAGAAGCATAACTTCCGTAAGTCTCACTGCGATATACTGCGCCAAAAATGCCATCGGGTTTACCAATAAAAAGTAAGTAACTTATTTTTAATCTGATTCGTTATTTTGAACAAGAGAGGTAATGGTGGTCCAGTTTTACCAGTCGTAGCAGTAAGATAAGTGAGTGGTTACTTTAGTAATATAAGAATTCGTATACACTAACAAGAGAGTTGCGGATGCATTACCTGCGAACAGTGACTTCTATGTCAGAAATTTCTTAAACGGGCAAAGCCCTAAAAAGTGCTAAAAACAAGGCAATGTAAGAAACCCGGTAGTGATGTGGATGGTTACACACAAGCAGCGATTCGGAACTCCATCTACGACATGATCCAACACAGTAAGTTAAAACACACGTTGAATGTTTGAATGTAAATGATTTTATGTGAAATGTGCAAAGATTATATTAGGAACACGTTTAGAGTCTGTACAACATTTTTTATACAACGATTTCAAAAGAAATCTCCATTAACATTAAGGCATGAATCCCACTTTTGTACTAATCTGTAAATTCCGTGCTCGTAAATTTCTTGAGGCTGCTTAAGGAACCATTCCCTAACCGCAAACACTACCTCAGCGTCCCATTTGAACCGCCGTCCTTTTAGTAATTATTGCTTTAATGGGCCAAAAACATGGTAATCGCAAGGTGACAAGCCGGGACTGTAAGGCGGATGTTGTAAGACTTTCCACTTCATGCGACTAAGCAGTTCTTGAATCGGCTGGGCTACATTGTGGTCGGCAATTATCATGCAGAAGAATGACCCCATTTGTGAGCTTCCCGGGACGTATATTCTTGATGCTGACCCGTAAGCCCTGCAGAGTGTCTGTATATCGCATATACAGTTTTCATTCTCGTATAAATTTTCGTTGGCTGACGTCCTTCAGCGGCCAAAAATTGAATAACAGCACGACAGTTATCTTTGGATGGATTTTCTATCATGGATGCCATTTTCAAACGCAGTCCCAACAAATAGAAAAGAGCAAACTGCAAATAGTTTTGTCAGATGCTTTACTAGTATCACAGATCTACACATACACAGATTGCTAACCTTATGCATTTTTTGGGAAACAAATTGAGGTATACTTAAAAGCGCCCTCTATTGCGGAGCAGTATAAACATGTACCGTTTAAAACTGTAATATGACGCTTATGGATTTATGCATTAGATGTCGCTGCAAAAAATTTAAAGCGGTAAAGTATGCATATAATCCAGTTTAATTGTATTTTTACCAGGAAAGTTGTGGGGTAGTTTCGATTTCTTTGATTCTATATGTTTTTTGGGGTGCTGAATCCGAATCTGAGGTTTGCTAACAAAATTTCATGACGCAACATTGAAAAAAATACAAAAAAAGTTGAAAAAGATATTTTTTTAGCAGTTTTGTGCTTACAACTCGAAAACTATCAACTTTTCGAAAATAACCTCCCTATCTTTTATTGGCGTGGTAAAGAGTGTAACGTTAATGATGGCAGAGATATACATAGTTTTTAAGTATGCCTTTGCGGTTAGCAATCTGTTAAGACATTTAAAGCCGCAAATAGTTTCCGCCAACTTCAAAAAACCTTCACGATTATTTAAGAACCTGCCCTATGTTCGTGTGTATCTGTGTCCACAGGGACCCGCTTTTAATAACTCCCTTACGACGAATGAGTAGCTCCAGTGTTAAATTAAACAATTATGGCTCAACGTACCTCCTATCATGTCATACCACTGTAATAAAACGAATATTAAGGAATTCGAATTGTGCAAACTTTAGCGCTTTAATTTTGTTTCAGCGACATCTAACGCATAAGTCCATAAGCGTCATATTACAGTTTTAAACGATACATGTTTATACTGCTCCGCAATAGAGGGCGCTTTTAAGTATACCTAAATTTGTTTCCCAAAAAATGCATAAGGTTAGCAATCTGTGTATGTGTAGATCTGTGCTAGTATCAAAGAATAACCACACTCTTTGCTAGTATGTAAGCAAACAATTTAAACAAATTAATTCGGTTGCCATGACGACCAGGTCATGGCTGCATAGATCAAACGTGTTTCTATTCAACAATCCTCGTATTAAATTAATATTTGTGTAGCTGTAGAGATTATGATCAGTTTACGCTTCAATCCCGTTAGCAAGTTCTAACAGAGAAAGATGTATTTAATGGGTCCAAAAGTTCCTTAAGAAAAGTTGTTGAGAATAATTGACTTCCGCTATCAAAAAGATAATTCAAGAAAAGGTTTAATGGAGTTACCCAATATCGAACTATCAAGAGTTCGCATTTTTACGTGCGTATGTAAAATATATGCAATCTGAGACTGGACGCCAATGTGTCTTTTTGAATGAAACGTGGGTATTTCAAAATGGAACAATGTGTAAGTGATGACCAGACAACTGATCAAAAAGCGTAAAAAAACATTAAACCCGAGGGACGCAGGTAACATACTGATATTGGTATTGGTGAGAACAATATCATCTTATAACTATTTAAGATATGGGGTTTTACATGCAGGAAACAGGAATGGTTTTATTACCGGAGCATCTTCAATTTTTGCGTCAAAAACAAATGATGCAGGGGGCATGGGGAAATGAACCAATACAGTTTTCTTAAGTTGTTCGGGTACCAGTTGTTGCCAACTTTAGAACTAGAACTACAAGCATGGCTACAGCACATAAATGCTGAGTTTCCAAATGATGCATTAAAAGTAGATGTTGGTGATGTTGCAAAGTTTGTTTCCTTAAATTCCATGCAGAATAATTTATTCGTAGTAATGCTTCTAGTTTCGAGACTAAAAATGTGTTACTTCAGAAACAAAATCTTTAAAACGGTATGCTGCTGATAAGATGGCAGTAGAAAATGGACATGCAGTACTACGGTTGTCTCCCTACCATTGCGTTTTCAATCCCATCTAAAATATAAGTATGGGGAATATCCAAACAATATTATAGCCGACACATTGGCAGAGAAAATTGTTTACATGTGGCAACAAGCCATCGATGCAAGTGTGATATTTTTGTAACTGATGTTCAGATTAATGTTTCCCGGTTTATTTAGATATCAACCTCAAGATTTGAAATCAACAAAATGGTTTGTGAACTACGCCTGCGATGTTTTAATATTCATGGAGAAATCGAAAGAAACGCGTCTTCGGTAAAAAAGGCTGCGGTTCGAATTTTACCAGGACGAAAACAGAATGATCGGCGAACAAGTTAGGCGAAAGTTATCGCCCTTCCGATGACAGACAACCAGTTGGAACGATGCACGTTGATGTTTTTGGAAAAAATATGACATTCCTAGAATCTTGAAATTGGCGACCTGATTTTTACTGTTACACAATTAGAATGTTTTGTGGATTTTCTTTTAGTTTTGTTGTCTTTGTTAAAATCTAATTCGTGTGTTTATGTGGACTATGCCAGGGTTTGTGTCCCGAATAAGGTTTCCCTGATATCGCCTGCTTGTGAGCGTAATATATTTTATATGTTCTAATTCACTTTTCTTTTCTTTTCTTACGCTGAAATTAAATTTCTTTTTTCATTTGTCTAAGTATAAAAAGAACAGCCAGTTTCAACACCGACTGCTACCCTGATTCGAAATTGCCGCGAAATGTCCATCGTTTTGACATGAAAATAATAACGGTGGCTCAGCCCTGAGTATAGGCGATGAGTCATTGAGTGAAGATATGCTAAGTCGAGATTGCGGTCGCTTCTCGACCTCTGCTGCTAAGTATCGTATCACATCGTTATTCGATCAAGTATGATCTTTGGTTATAGTTATGTTGAGGGGCCGTTCAGAACTATACTCTGTCTTTCCATAAAAATTTCCCTCTATAAGCAAAAATTATTCAATGTCCAATTAAATAAATGTGAAAGTCATGTAATCTTCGCTATAAGGAATTGGTTTCGCCTGGCGAATTGTGTGCTTAAACTAAACATCAAGCACGTGTAACAAAACTGTTATGAAAAATTTTAAATAATAGTTATTTATATATCAAGCACATAAACTGGGTCTTTATGGACGAGCCGTTTATTTAGCCGAGCGAGCTTGCGAGCGAGGTACAAATAAACAAGGCGAGTCCCCATAAAGCCTATTTATGGACGCGATACATACAAAGCCGAGTACAAAGCTTTATGTACGACTGCAGCAACCCTTAAAAATGAGAATTTCATGGAATTCAATAAACGATAAAATCTATATCTATATACCTATCATTGACATCAGATGTCAAGTATTTCTAAAATACTTGAATTTACCTTGGATTGACACCTAAGTACGACTGTCACATTGACAGACGGCCGTTTTACTTTATCATTATGGACTAGGCCATAATATTGCAAATTATGGCCACTAATTGCTACTGTAATCACCGCATTATCAAGCAGTCGTACATAAAAATGCTTACATTACAAGTTATAGCGCATTTATACGTACCTAGCTACATTATTCGATAAAATTACAAACCCTTCAGTAACTTTACTCTCTCGTGAACAATATTTCAACAAGTTCATTAGATACAGAAGCTGTCGAAAATTAATTAATGTCTAAAATTATTGGAATTACTCACATCATTTTGAAGCCGTAGCGTAATAAAAAGGGTAAATTCCTTTGGAAACGCTCGACCGTTTAAATCAGGAAACAATTGAGAGGAGGGCAGCCAAATATACGAGTTTGGTTTTAGGCGCCAGGCTGTCGGTCTATCCGGAACTTTTTGCCAGCGATCCCTCGAAGGATGGAAAAACTTTCCATCCTCTAAACTTAATGGATTGACCGCATCGATACATCTACATAAGAAAATTCAAAGTAATAATTCATGTTGGTCGCAAAGTCACATTATCACTAAAAGTTAATTTAACTTGGCTTAACTATTAATTATACTAAACATACCCAAATAGATTACAATGTCTCTGTTCTACATTAAATCCTGGACAATCACTAAGTAGACAATGACGAACTCGCTGTTGTATTCCTGCGGAACACGATACACTGCAGCTAGACCAGTCCGTCCATTTACTCCACCCTGAAACAAATTAACGGTTTAAGTTCCTTTTTCGTATAATAAATACCATTTTGTTTTCAGAAAATTTATCAGCGTAGCACTTTAATACGAATTTCAAATGAAATTGCTATAATCCATCTAAAAAGTTTAATGGCGTTCTAATTTTCTAAAGAGATTGTTATTGCAGTTGTGAATTGAACTAAAACGCTGCTCTCTTTATGCGCATAAAATTTTCATTGTAATCATGAATAGCAATTGTATTTACACAATCATGTACACTAGGTGCATTGAAAACATTTTACAAATGTGACTTCCAGTTGTTCAAAATTTGTCTTCTGAAAACAAAATTTTACTGAAGGTATGTACGAGTATATTCAATTGAGAAAGTTGGGGCCAAGGTTGAGACTGTTGAGATTTCCGGCCAGACCAAAACAACATAATATAAACTCTTATTTATTGCGTCAATGTTAAAGTGGTAGTCTTTTATTAAGAAAACAAGAGCAGCATTTGCAACTGCAGCACACGAACCTATCGCTCGTGTATGAGGCACAGTTTGTTCCAAAATTAAACAGATGCAGGGTAAGTTGAAATACGAGTAGTAGACAAAAACTTACACCGCTGCCAAATAAACTCCCCACAACATGAAAATAAACTCCCAACAACATCAAAATAAAATCCCCCCGACATAGAAAAACCATCACACACCGCAGTTGAATTGGTTTCCCCGGCTAAAAATTTACTCCTCGCTGTGGCGCGGTGTCGAAGCGTAATTCACGCCTCGGTTTATAAAATTCAATAGCGTCCGTTATTTGACACATATCGGCCTAATGACGTTAATAACTATAGGCATGCCGTTATCAGTTTTTCGAAATATCTAGTTACGATTTTAAGTTGATTTTGAACTACATATTACGTTCCATGAATGATGCAAAATGTAAGTGATATCTCAGTTTTATTTTTGTACTTATAAATTATCGTTGGTCGAGTATCACTGTTTTTTGGTTTGTTTGGGGATCACTGTATTTTCCAAATTGTAGTGTATGTAGGACTTGACGAATTATGATTGGTTCTTGCGAGGCGAGGGCGATATGCGCGTTAGCTTACCTTTTCCGTCTGATTCTTTCTTCGTTGGTAGATAATTTAAGGGGGGATTAACACCAAAATGTGAGGTTAATATAAATTCAAATTTCAAATGTACAAATTTCAAAATATTTTTACTTTTTTCGTAAAAGATAATTCGTAACACCTTCATCTGAGACAACTACGTGATGAGATACCTACATATTTCGCATTAATACAAAAGAAAAAAAAATATTACGTAACCTTTAAAGGTACACCACTAAATAAATATCAAATAGTGTAGCAAACTATTAGTGTCTTGTCACAAGTAGTACCCTGAAGAATGATGTAGTATTTTGGTTTCGGATGAAACTTACTTATTTTTCAAGTTTTGTACATTTTAGTGCCTGATCGCTAAAATGTGAGTGCCGCCATCAAATTCCACGTTTTTCCTGTAATTTAATTTGTGGATTTCGTGTAAGATGGCGCTGTTAGCGTGTAGCTAAAGTCTGTATACAGTATGGACGTTTAGGTAACGCAGTGACCTATTAACGAAGAATAGCAACCTGTAATATACTTACATCAATTTATCACATGGATATTATCGCCAAAGGCTGACCTTGTTCTTAGAGATAAAGGTGGTGTTTTGTTTGTTATCGTAATTAGATACGTCCTACATTATGCTACAAACAGGATTGTAATTTATTCCACAGATCATTTATTCTTGCTCTGTCAAATTTTCAGGTATACAATACATCACCTGTTACTGGCTTTGTGTTTGGATTTATTTTGGGATTCTTATCAATACACTTGATTTATATAGTGTGTATAATCAATGTCAATACTTATATACATAATATATTGGTCAACTTTTAATGCTCTGGTTTTATCAAGGTCCTTGGGTTTTATAGAAATATTTTATCATTAACGACCCTCGCGATCGTTTATAATTTTGTATTGCTGTCCGTCTGTCTGTCCCTGTGCACGATAACTTTGTGTAGAAACGTCCGATCGCTTTGAAAATAGACACACATGTTCTTCAGGATATAAGAAAGGTCCCTATTGTTTTTTGGCTATGTAGACTAACGGGCCAAAAAGTTACAACCCAAAAACTGCCCAAACCTACAAAAAAAGGGTTCTGTTATAATTCTTGTTACAAAGAACATATGAATATCCGGTTTTCTGTGTTAGTAGATGAATTTTTAAAAAATTGCGCATGTGCAACCCAACTTTTGTATTTGAGCAATCCCATTTTTTTTATTTGTTATATTTAAATGAAATTTTGTATGTATATGCACCTCCCACCTCGTATAAAAGTAAAAGTAATGCTAATTCAAAAATTTGTTTTACAAGCTATGTCTGGTGGAACAGAATCAATCCCTGCGTTGTAAAAAAGATGCATGTGCGAAGATCTCGAGAATCGTTCGGTATTCAGTTGTATCGGATTTTTTGGTCTAATATTGAGGCTACAGTGGGGCTCTGATATGTACCACAATAGCGATAATCGGATCTCATAAAACACTTATGTTTTTACCTCTTAATAATGCCACAGATAAAATCTCAATCCCCTAAGAACTTGATTAAGGGTGGTGAATGGGGGTGGGGCTGGAAACAAGTTTTTAATTAAAAAAAGGGACATTTTTTAAATTGCAACCAGTACTTGCACGACGCAGATAAAATGTGTCGCTTTGGACATAGATTTTTTAATCTATGTCTTGGAGCTACACCCCCGAACGGTACCAAATTTGCGTTTCTAGTTACATTTTCTTCTTATGAACACAACAAGTAAGACTCTCTGGGATTTTGGATGTATTCTTTCTAATTTTGTATTTCCAAAGATGCACCCTTAAACGGGCGTGTGAAAAGTCTGGTCCCCCCAAAATTTTATATTTGGAACTGCAATTGCGGACAGTTTCTTCGTGTGACTTTAAAAAAAAATTATGCGCACTTCATCGTTGAAATAACCTAAACATATTGCACCAAATGTTCGTCTTACAAAAAAGTGGTGCGCATAGCGAATATGGCAGAGGGCAGTTCTAGCGCATTTTCCAATACATGTTGGAAGGCGCCATTATTGGCACTTTCTCCGTCGGTCCACTCGAAGCTGCATCTACTTTTACAGTTTTCAAGATATTTAGTTCGTTCTGTTTGCATTCGGTAGCTTAGGGTATAGTAACAACCAAGAACCAAGAAAATTTACACCAATTGCTTGCTCCTGCGCCTGACCAGCGGCTGGTAAAGTTAAAACCAGTTATGTAGGTATTATTTCCATGTCTCTGGTATTATTACATATTCATCATCCTTTATATCTCTTTTCTTGTTAGAAACAATACCTACTAACCTGGTACCTACATTTAAAACATAATATGCGCATGGTCTGCGCGTACAGAAGACAACTGTTGATTTATTAAGATATTCGCATGCATTATTACCAATGGACACACAACTAGTAGAATCGTTACCAAGAATATGTTTTCCGCTTGGCGACATATCGCATATATGGTAAAAACCAGATGTGCGCATACGCATACTGCGCAATGTGCCAACTTTATAGTCATTTCTTTGAAATTAGTAAAGAAAAACAAGGCACATAGTAAAAATTAAATGTGTCATGCGGAAGCTGAGCGATATCATCTTTCTTAATCGGCTATTTTTTGAAATTTTAACCACATGTGCTTCTAGTAAAGGCAAACTTATCGCAGCATTTACCTATACTACCGGCATATCTGCACATGCGTGATTCTACCCAAAAGCTTTTCTGCTCTTCCTTTTAGGTATGTCTAAACATATATGTACCAAATTTGGTTCCAATCGGTTCAGTCGTTTACCTGAAAATGAGAATACCGACAGACAGACAGATAGAGATAATCCAGATTTTGTTTGATTCGGCTTCGTGGTGCTTCAAAACGTGTATTTTTTATTATTTATGCTTCTCAGGTATAAATATTGAGAAAGGTACCTACACCATATGCTGACCAATATATATTATAAGTCTTAAATCAAATGTCATTTATAGCGCAACGGATGTTGTATTGAGAACCGCTGACTCCGTACGGCTGGTTTTGAGAAACTTTCACTCGTAGGGAACGGATTTTTACATTGCATTTCAGGTGCATATTATTAAATACAACTATCGGTCGCGTTATAAATGACGTTTCATTTACGATTTAATAATTTATGTTACATTGCTGCGCATATGGACTATAGTTTACTGACGATATGTACTATATCTTGTCATAGAGTAGTATACTTTAAGTTGTGCTGCGTAAGGCGGACGTGAGATTACAAATTGTGCTGCGTAAAACTGGCTACGTAAATACTTGTACACGTGCTGCCATCCAGTGATGTATAACTTCATTTATTGGGTAACAAAACAACCTTAAGCGGGGTGTATCATTGAAGTACTTATGGGTTTAATTGGAAATTTTTAAGTATTATAATAGGTATGTTACATTATGGCTGTTTAACCTATGTTTTGTAGAATTTTATTGTTGATAGAGTTTCTACATTTTCTCCAGTTTGGATGCTTTAATTGGATTCATTCAATACGTAACTGGCCGCCAATCGCCATTTGCTAGACTATTCATTATCTCATACAATCTTTTTAGAAATTCTCTTCGCTTTACATGAGGATCTAAGTCGATCGTTGCTGTAATATTATTATTTTCTAGAATAGTTCTCTTATTAATTAGAGGTATGTTAATTGGTGTGACCGAAGATTGTTACATGTTAATGCTTTTTAGGATTCAATAGTGCCCTATTTCAAGTTTTATTTTCAAGTTATGGGCATTCTCAATTTACCTTTACGTCTTAATTGCAAAAAACTGCTACTCGCATGGATGTTCACAAAAAATTGCCGGCGATTTGATCATAATATAAAAAGGTCGTTTCTTATCATTTATGCATAATTTTGGAACTCTGACATATGCCATATAGGCTCTAAATGCAAATATAATTCAAAAATTTTTGACAGGTCGCACTTTGCACAAAAAATTTCTATTTACCAACTTTTCAGTATGAAAATTACCTATTATAACATCGCATTTTGCAACAGAATGTTCATTAGATTTATGAAGTATTAAATTCTACACAAGATGGTGCTGTTAACTCATTTTCCTTACAGTGACTTTATAAGGACAGTGGCGACAACTTATCATAATCCGCCATATTGGAGCTAAAAAATTGATTGTAAGATCAATATACCTTGTCATGTCAAATTGTGAGCGTAGAATAATAAATGTCAGTTTCATTTAAGTAAAGATTCTTGTTCAAAACGAACGGCGCAGAAATGATCGTTTAAAGCTTTGCAGAACAACCTATGGGAAAACAAATGCCTCCCAAATTCAAAATGGTATGGGTATATGGAAAACGGTATAATAAGTATGAAATATGGTGCAATATCCAAAATGTACATATAAATAATCATTAAATTGTGTTTGACATTTCAGTGTCTTCTGTCACTTCTTGTCCCCTGTCGCGTGTTGCTCCTTCCGGACTTAAAAGTATTTCTTTAGTCTCTTAAATGGAAGACAAAACACGTTGATCTAGTCCACGGAGTACAAGAGATCAATATTCCATGTGCTCCAGCAAACATGAAACCAATTCAAACGTATTTACGATCACAATTGAATTTGCTGCTAAATTTCGGATAAGCTGCTTCTCTAACCAGTTTTCTATCTAAACTCATTAGGTATTTAGGGCTTCTGAAAAAAATTTTACATCAATTACCAGTCGTAAGGTTAGGCACAGTTTTACATCTAAAAACACTAAGCGGATTACATACCTTATAATATCGTAATAAATCCAAACTATATGCGTCTTTAAAAATCGAGTTTATATAAAACTGGAGACGGAAAACGTAAAATAAAGCAAATACAAGAAGCAAAGTGTAAACTAGTAACATGAAGCCGTGACAATTACAGGTGACACTGTCAAAACAGTATAATTAATAATTATAGCACGGAGTGCACCGCGTCGTTTTGAAGGTTTTCTATTGGCCAGTTTGGAATTTAGCTCCAATATGGCGACCGGAACCAACGACCAATCAAAAACGAGATACCCTGTTGTCGCCACTGTCTCTATAAAGTCACTGTAATTTTCCTTAATTTGTGACATGTCGCACTTTGCATTTAAGCGCCTCATATAAGGTATTAATTATTATTTAATTAATTAATTATTATTAGGTTAACTAGTAAGTTCGTAATTAATTGGATAACTCCTCTTCAAGGATTATTTAAACGTCGTTATTTGTTCGTAATTCCTTGTTAATACATAATCAATTTTGAACGCGGTACGATTATGTTGAGTACGCTGATCTCCTTCAGAGACCTTCGCGCTTTTTGACGTATTTGATTTTGAATGTTGGTTGCAAGTAGTTGTAGTACGCTATTCAAGCATTAATTAATTAATCATTTACGAAGTCCCATACCTCAAGTTGCGGTTTTCTTTCTTCTTTTTTTTTTGTTTTAGGCTGTTATAATTCGAAGAGAGTTCTTTTATTTATATTTCCATTTTTTAATTAGACTTAAAAAAATGTACATTTCGAGAAATAAGTTACTGTCCATTGAAGGCACTAACTTGTTCAAATTGAATCTTAAGCGAAGGACTGAGAATTTAAACGTGTCATCATTTGAATTGCAGAACGTTTGCAAATAATCTATTAAAGTTACTCACGAGTTGTGTGTGTGCAGTGAGCAGAGGCGTGACAACAATTTTAGTTCATCCATGCAAGCGGACAGATAAGCTTTACAAAATCATATTTCAAAATAATAATGCAACTGTGTTCACGAATTCCATTACAATTAAAAATCGCTGAAACATGACCGTTTTAGCTCATTTATGGATTTTTCTCCGAACGTCATTTGTTCCTCGACTGAAAGTTAGTTTTATATATGTAAACAGGAAGAGTGATAAAAGTGGGGAGCGTTGCGTAATTGTACTTTTCACCCCTGAATTAAACCATGGATAATGTAAATGGGCGTTTATTGAGTAGTCACATTCCCTTGATTCAATGCTATGCTTTACGCGCGTCTTCCTAGGAAGTTCTCATGAGTGGGTCGCGCACCCCTCGTGCAATAAAGCTGCCTTAGCGAACCATAATAAAGTGTTCTAGTGTAATACGAAATTACTTTGTCACGGATAAATCTTTCAAATGCAAATAATATGAAGCTGCCAATTCGAAATCGGAACTAGGATTGGTATAGGTAAATTTAAAATAAGTGGATGACTTGAAGTCTTGAAATAGAAAAAAACTACACTTCTTGTCGATAATTCACATATCATCACAAGCATTTAATCTTGATATTTACAGTTAAAGTTCTGGGATCATACCCTTACTGTTAGCATTGACTAATAGTCAATGCTGTTAGGCAACTCACCTTTTATGTGAAAGAATGGCGGTCTGAGAAAAAATATGAAACAATTGTGATAAGTCTTCGACCTTAACCGTTCTGCGCAGATGCCGAAAAACAAAGACTTTTCAAGACGAAGCTTGGTATAAAGATGTGTATAAAGTTAACATCGGATACTAATTTTAAACGTTCGGGTGGCGTGCTGGCGTGGCGATTTTTCTCAATGTTTATTTTATTATTTGATTTTTGAAAACCGCCATTACAGGTCGTATTAACCATCAATCTGAATTGAAATACTATTCGTTTGAAGTATGGCGTGCTTCAAGCCTTATTTTATATGTACCGCAACTGAATTTTGTTTGTTTGTTTTACTGTACCGATGATTATGACGTTATATTGTTTTATTAAGTATTTATTTATCTATTCACGTAAAAGTATATTATCAATGTGATGTTGCCCTGTAAGTGTCGACTAACCTCAGACGATTCTTCCCTGTGTCATGTTGCTTCTTCAACTCGTGCGGAATGCAGCTTCTGTGTCTTAGTAATACGAGAAAGGGGGTTCTCTAATAAACTTTTCTTCGGTTAAGATTGCGGGGACTGTTTGTGAGATGGTCGACTTTAACATGAATACTGCTGACATTTTCACGTGTACCTTTCGTGTTAAATGAATGGTAGCCGATGTTTGAATAGAGCCATGCTCTTTTGATGTTGCTTTTTTATGTATGTGCAATTTTTTATTTTATGCGTTGTTTGTCTAAATTGACCGTAGATGTATTTTATGTGCTTCCGCACTAAATTTAATTATCTGTTTCCCATTTGTATTTACTATACAATAGTTTTATTAATTTGTTTAACTGCATTTGACTCGATACCCGGTTTTTATTGTACGACTTGAGATATTTCATTTGTTTGTTTTTGTATTTGTGTGTGTTATGCTAGATTTTTCCTAACCCTTGTTGTGTGTGTAATATGTTTCACATGTTCTTGTCTTTTTTTACGTACAAAGCTTATTAAGTTCCTGACTGGGTCTCACACCCCACCACATACAATAACCGTCATATTAGAACACAACGTGTGAGTACATATTTGTGACATTTTGACATGAAAGCCAGATGGATCTGGATGGATTTTTTCTTCAAAGTTATCAACTGTAACTATAACGCAAGTCAAGATCTTAGTGCCGAATGGGGGACCCCTATGATCATTACAAAGTTCTGCAAAATAAACTTGTCAATCTCCTAACAACGGTTTAAATCACTAGTGCAAAATAGTAGCAGATTGTTATGCATTTATTCGCAGAACCATTTTCTATTAATAGTCTTCTTTACCTAAGCGCAACTTTTTTACATTATGGTGTATTAGATGGTTATAGTTGCTTTGTCAACTCCTGTCTTGGTCCTTAGTTAGTTCCCGCCGACACTGTGCCGCGGCGCCACTTGCTACACTCAAACATAGATATACTTTGTTTCACTGGTGCTGAACCTGACGTCATAAATGTGATTCTCTCTTCATTACATTTAAATCGATTGAGACAAAAAAATTACGTCATTAACGTAAGTCGTGACAAATAAACCAATTGATCTGTCATAATATGAATCCGTCAAATGATTTTCGTTATAGACAGATTTCCAGTGTTAAATGCCTTTTGATTAGGTAGTTTGTGTTAAAAGTGAAGTAAATATCATCAAAGTTAAAAACGCTTAGGCAAGTCGACAGTGCAGCAACGCCGTTAATAGACAAGTATTTTAAAAATTTTACATAATGGTTCGATTCGCTCATATCATGAATTTAGGTCATTCCCGTTACCATTAGGTAAATATGACGAACCGATACACAGAATGAAGAGGTTCGCTAGAACACTTAGGTATTGAATTGATTTTATAGGTGAGAAGTTACACTCCGTTCCTTACACAGTAATCTTCAACGACTTGATGGCGTAGAAATATCTGGTACCTCTTTGTCCCGCAGTTTGAAGAAACTGAAATTCACGTGGCGGAGATGCACCGTTTCCAATAGATTATTTTTAATGGAACAGCCCTATGCAGTTCAAAGAAGACTACAATTTTTGAGAGACTTTAAACACAACGAAACTTCACTCTTTCCATTACGACCTGTGGTTTTAGACGAAACCTGGATGTACAGTAAAGGGTCTTTTAGAAGAAGCTGGCAAGATGGTACTCTCAAAACAGTTAGAAAAAGAAGTGAGTGAAGGGGTCCGGTATATACCTACTACTCCATGCAGGATCAGAAGATGGATTTGTGGTGTAGTGTCGTTTTTTCTTTTGTACATACAATTTGAATATGAACATTTGAGAGTTTTTTCAGGAATAAATATCATCACGACCTGTTTTCTTTCACAATTGCGTTTTTTTTTTTAAATAAATCGGATCAGAAGATATTCAAGATCCTTATGCGAATATCTCGACTGTGTGGCAAAAGAACAGAAACTGTATGTAGGTATGCGTTATTTCAATGAGCCAGTGGTATAATGACTACGCTTTATCTCAAATTTGTAAGATGTATAAATGCGAAAGGCTTACCGATAAACCATGGCCTATTCTACTTCTGCAAATGGCTAGTTAAGGGTCATTAAAATTCGCGCAACTTAACGCGTATTCTTCACATTGGTAGCATACCTACTTAATTTTACATCAACATTATGTAAACAAAACATTAATTTACGAACTGCCTAAACAAACTTTAAGTTACAAATGGTCCTATGCGTTTTCTGTAACCATCATAC